AGGCGGATCTCTGTGAGTTCGAGGCCAGCCTGGTCTCCAAAGCGAGTTCCAGGAAAGGCGCAAAGCTACACAGAGAAACCCTGTCTCGAAAAAAAAAAAAATTAAAACACGCCGGGCAGTGGTGGCGCACGCCTTTAATCATAGCACTTGGGAGGCAGAGGCAGGTGGATCTCAGTGAGTTAAGGTCAGCCTGGTCTACAGAGTGAGTTCCAGGGCAACCAGGACTGTTACACAGAGAAACCCTGTCTCGAAAACAACAAACAAACAAACAAAAAGAAAAAATTAAAACACCTGTTGGAGCTAGAGTGTAAGGAACTTTTTTTTTATGGTTATTTGGGAATTTTGTTTAGCTGTTTTTGAGACAGGTATCGCTGTAACCCAGGCTGGCCTGGAACAGACTTCCTGCCCAGGCACCTCCAGCTATTCCACCAAGCCATGGCTCTGTAAAGAACCTTTATATTCAGGAAATACACGGTAACAGATGGCTTTTAAGCCAAAGGACTTTTTAAAAAATTTTATTTACTTTTATTCATGTGGATGAGTGTTTGTCTGCATGTATGTATGTGCACCACGTGCCCACAGAGGCCAGAAGAGTGTGTTGGATCTCCTGGAACTGGAGTTACTGACAGTTATAAGCTGTCATGTGGGTGTTGGGAATTGAACCTGGGTCCTCTGAAAGAGCAGCCAGTGCTCTTAACAGCTAAACTCTCTCTCCAGCTCTCAGAGGACTTTGTATATCCAAGTTGTGTTAACATGAAGAGTCTGGTTGCTTCTTTGAGAGAACTTGCCTTTTTTTTTTTTCTTTTTTGGTTTTTCGAAACAGGGTTTCTCTGTGTAGCTTTGCGCCTTTCCTGGAACTGGCTCTGTAACCCAGGCTGGCCTGGAACTCACAGAGATCCGCCTGCCTCTGCCTCCCAAGTGCTGGGATTAAAGGCGTGTGCCACCACCACCTGGCTCCTTAATTTTTTTTTTCATTCTAATCCAATTAGCATGCTTTTTCACTGTGTTCTCTTTTTCTACAAAGATACAGTTTATAATTGTAGATAGAGTTTTATTGTAATTGATTGTCAAAAGCCAACTTTGAGGAGACTATTCTATCCCACTGTGGACTACTGGATTGAAATCAAGTTGTCAGACCTATGCAGCAAGCACCTTTACCCGCTGACCTGTTTTGCCAGTCCCCCATATTTGGAAGGTTTTTGTTTTGTTTTGTTTTACTGAAAATAGTTCTTCACATTTACTGTATAAACTGGCAATGCTTCATTGGGCTTAAAATGATAGAGGCTGGGCTTGGTGGTACATGCCTTTAATCCCAGCACTCAGAGGCAGGCTGATCTCTTGAGTTCAAGGACAGCCAGGGCTAAAAAAAGAAAAAAAAAAAAAGCCAATGATAGAATTAAGATACAAAAGAGTGTAACTCAAGAGTGAAATCAAGTTAGTCTGAGGTTTTCCTGTTGTATGTCTAGGGAGTCAGAGGACCGGTTACTTTTATTTTTACTTAGTGTGTATACATGTTTTGCATATATGCACTTATTTTCAGCACATGCATGCCCGTTGGGTTTGAGGTTATGGATGGTGGTAAGCCACCATGTGGGTGCTGGGAATCAAACCCGGGTCCTCTGTGGAAGCAACAAGTGCTCTTAATCACTGAACTACTCCTATCCAGTTTTCCATCACTCCCGTCCACCATCTGTCCCCCTACCCACACCCCCCTTGTTTTATTTGAGACTGGATCTTTTATGTATCCCTAGCTGGTCTGGAACTTGTCTTATAGACCAAGCTGGTATGGAATTTCAGTAATCCTCCTGCCTCTGTCTCCCAAGCAATAAGATTACAGATCTCTGTCACCACAACTAGCTAAACTATTTTTTTAAGTTGCTGAAGAGGTATCTTTTTTGGCATTAAATAATTTAATTTTTGTATATATGATCAATACAAATTTTTATTTTCATTCTTATTACATTTATTCTGCGCGCATGCGCGCATGTGTGTACCATAGCATATGTGAGAAGATCAGAGGATAACTTATAAAAGTTATTTTTCTCTTCTCTTTCCCCCAACCAAGTGCTGAGATTATACTTATTGCACTACCACACCCCACTTTTTGTGTGGGTTCTTGAATTAAACTCAGGTCCTCAAAATATATGTCAAGCATTTTACCAACTGAACTGTCTCCCTCACTTGGATATTCTTTTTAAGCGCACATAGGACATGCTGAGCAAGCCCCAACAATTTTAAAGGATATGAATAACAGGTTAGAAACGGTTAACACGACTGGGTGTGATGGCACATGCCTGTGATTTCTAGCATATGGGGTGCTGAGGCAGAAGGATATGGAACCAGCATGGGCTATATACATAGAGACTTCTAGGCCAGCCTGGAATATCAAGGATAGAAGAATGTTCTTTATATCACAGTTTCGGGGGATGAAATATAAATTGGAAAGCATATAGCCTTACATGTTTACATTTAAAGAGAAAATTTGAAAACTGATGATATAGTCCAGTTGGTAGAGTACTTGCCAAATATCCATCTCTATTGCCATATAAATTGGATATGGTGATATACACCAGTAATCTCGACACTTAGAGAGGGGGATCAGAAGTTCAAAGTCATCCTCAGCTACATAGCAAGTTTTAAACAGCTTGGGATACATGAGGTTCTGTCTCAAAACAATGAGAGAATGAGGTGGGTGACTGGGGAGTTACCTGAAAAGGAGGAAAATGATCTTAATCTGAAAAAGAAAACTAAGAAAGTACAGAGATGTCAGTGATAAAGATAGGAACAGAAACTGTTGGCATTAAAATACATTTCAACAGAGAAGTATTTAATGTTTTTTCTAAAGATGAATAGAATTGATACATGCCTGGAAAAAATAAGGAAAGGCAAAGAAGATGGTCTAGCCCAGGTTAGTCTCAAACTCCTATCTCAGGCTCCCAAATGCTAGGATCACAAGTAAATGTCATCTAGATTTGTTTGGCTAAACAGTATTTTTTTAATAAGTAATTTTAAAATGAGCATTAAATAAATTATTTAAAATTTATCATCTGGAGGGTCTCACTTTGTAGCTCTAGATGGCCTGGTACGTCTTGTGTAGACTAGGTTACCTCAAACTCAGAGATCTATCAGCTTCTGCCTCCTGAGCACTGAGATTAAAGGTGTGCACCATCATGCTTTGTAGAAAATTTTAATTTGTCAAAATTGGTTGAAAACTTGAATAATTCTTTTTGTTTTGTTTTGTTTTTCGAGACACAGTTTCTCTGTGGAACTCTGGAGCCTTTCCTGGAACTTACTCTGTAACCCAGGCTGGCCTTGAACTCACAGAGATTCGCCTGGCTCTGCCTCCCGAGTGCTGGGATTAAAGGCATGCACCACCACCACCCGCAACTTTCAATATTTTTAAATGGGTCTAAATTAAAATTTAATTTTCTCAAAAAGTTAACACCAGGACAAGATGTAATTTTGCCAAACAACCATTTCCTAGACTATCAATATATTAAATGTGACAATATTCCCTAACTCATTTTAGGAGACTAGCATAGCATAGCAAACTGGTAAGGAGAAAATTAGAAGAAAATGATGTGCCAATTGAATCCTTGAGTGCAGTGTTGAAAGCTTTCCCTTTGAGACTGGAAATCAGAAAAGAATATCAGGTATCAGTTCTAGTCAAGATGGGAGTTATCTACAAAACGGAAGACAGGAAATGAATTAGAACTAAACTTACATGGATGTTACTATTAGAATTACCATCTCTCTTCTTAACCTCAAGTGGATTCAACTTCAGAATTAAGGTTTTAGTTAAAATCAACTATGTTTATGTATACTAGTAAGGAATAAGTAAAAAATAGAGGGATTTTTGTTTTGAGATAGGGTGAGATGGTTAATATTGTCATCTTAATTATAGGATCTAGAATCAGCTAGGAGACAGACCTTGGGCATGTCTATAAGGGCATTTCTGGATTGGTTAATTGAGGTGAGAAGACCAACCATAAATATGGGTGGATCATTCTGTGGACGGGGGTCCCAGGCACTGAGGTGCGTGCCAGCTTTTATGTCTGCTTCCTGACTATGGAAGCAGGAGCAGGGTGACCAGCTGCCTCCTGTTCCTGCAGAGGTGCACTCCCCACCGCCCTGGACCGTATCCTCACGCTGTGAGCCAAAATACACACTTCCTTTTCTTGAGTTGCTGTTGTCTGGTGTTCTGACACAGCAAGGGAAAAGTTCCTAAGACAGAGGATCGCACACATCGCCCAGGCTGACCTCAGACCCAGAGTAATCCTCCTACTTCACTTTGCTTAGTGCTCTAATTACAAGTGTGACGGACCACACAGGACTAGAACATAGCATTGTTTGTTTGAGACAGGGTCTCATATACCCAACACTGGCCTCAGACTACCTAGCCCAGGATGGGCTTCCTGCCTCAGCCTCCCAATTATTGAGATTATAGATGTGTGCCAGCCATGCCCAGCCTAATATGTGCGATACTTACTTGATGATTGTTCTGCTATGTAGCCTTCTCCCACCCCTCACACATACCTTTAGTAGTGCAGGGTCTTGCTCATACTAGGCAAGTGTTCTACATCCCCAGCCTCTGAACTAAAAACAATTTAAATAAAAGATGAAAAATAAGCTGTAGTAACTGGAACAGTGCGTTTTGATTCAGAATATTCCAGATGTGAGTGGAACAAATTTAGAAGACTCAAAACAGATCCACACGTGTTTGGAAATGAATTCATGGTAATATTAGAAGGGTGGAGTTTCCTTTTTTTTTCTTTTTTTAAATAATGCTTTTTAAATTGGTTATTTTTGGGGGGATTAAAATTGGATCTTCTACCTCTTACTAAGCACAAAAAAACAATTACTGGTAACTGAAAGATTTAAATATAAATATCAAAATTTTATTTTTAATTTATGTGTTTGGATGTTTTTCCTGAATGTGTGGCTGTGTACCACATGCATGCCTGGTGCCCAAGGTGTTAGAGATGGTTGTGAGCTGCCACATGGGTGCTAGAAACCAAACCCAGGTCCTCTGGCAAAGCAACAAGTGACTATAGCCCATGAGCCATCTCGCCAGCCCAAAAGTTATGTTTTTTAAACTTAAAGAATATGTAGGAAAATATCTTCAAATGTGAGAGTATGGAAATTTTTTTAAATAGATGAACATTAAGAGTATATTCATGCCGGGTGGTGGTGGTGCATGCCTTTAATCCCAGCACTCAGGAGGCAGAGGCAGGCGGATCTCTGTGAGTTCGAGGCCAGCCTGGTCTGCAGAGCGAGATCCAGGAAAGGTGCAAAGCTACACAGAGAAACCCTGTCTCAACAAACCAGAAGAAAAAAAAAAAAGAATATATTCATAAGCCAGGTGGTGGTGGTGGTGGTGGTGGTGGTGGTGGTGGTGCACACCTTTAATCCCAGCACTCCAGAGGCAGAGGCAGGCAGATCTCTGAGTTCCAGAACAGCCAGAGCTACATACAAAGAAACCCTGTCTCAAAAAAAACAAACAAGAAAAAAAAAAAATTCATTAGCTGGACCTGGTGTAGGCTGAGGTAGGAAAATCACAGGTTTAAGGGTCTCCTAAAGTGAGCTTAAGATCAGCCTGGGCAACTAAGGCTCAAAATTAAAAACAAACAAAAGGCTGAGTACAACTTATGAACTCTTGGTTCAGACCCCAGCACTGCAAGGAAAAGAAAGATGTGTTCATCTAATTTGTAGCAAAATAAGCTATAACGTGTGAGTTTATATTTGTAATGTAATCAAAATAATGGTGTCCTTTAGGTGGTTACTAGTTGAGTGGATGTGTTTGGATGTTATTTTAGGTGAGAGAGACTGAGCATATTTGGATGTTGATGACAGAGAAAGATTAGAGTGAGGTGGGTTAATTGATAGAGTGAGTTCCCTGAAGAATTAGGGAACTGTAGAGTCCATAATACACGGAGAGAACGTCGGACACTGAACTAGCCTACAAGTGTCTCCGAATGTTGGCTGCATTCTCGCTCACACACGGCATATAGACTGCGTACAGCTACCCAGTCCCTCTCTGCCCAGGCATGCTTAGGATACATTTGAGAGCAGAGTTAGACCCAGGCTCTATCCTCATGACTTTATACTTTATTCATGGAAGCAGACATTCATTTTAAACTTTTTAAATTATTATTATTATTATTATTATTATTATTATTTGTAAAAGTTCATGCAGAAATGGAAAAGTCAGGCTCCCTTTGTGACAAGAAAGCACTAAGAATCTGTTCCTCATTAAACTGAAGCCGTGCTGAAAATGCTGGTCTTTGTGGCCGTTTCATGGTTGCTTCTTTTCTTTTCCAGTACACCCCCACAAGCCGTTCGTGTGGAGCAGTGAACTGTTCGTGCTTCCTTTTACTTGAGATCATGCAGAGAGCTTCACGGCTGAAGAAAGAACTGCATATGTTAGCTGTAGACCCTCCCCCAGGCATCACATGCTGGCAGGAAAAGGACCAAGTGGATGATTTGCGAGCTCGTAGGTATCCTATCAGGCCTGTGATGGTGGCTGTGGCCTTGTTGGAGATTGTCCTAAGATGCACCCGTTGGTATAGTTGAACGTAAGGAGTGGGAAGGGGAAGGCCCGCCATCTTTCTTTCTTAGTTGGTCTGCTTTTCATAAGGTCTTTGACTGCTTCTGTCTTTGACTGGTGTGTGACGAAGGTCGTCATCTGACATTAGTGGCACATGTCTAATCCCAGGATTCTGGAGGCTGAGGCAAGAGAGAGAGGATGGCTTCAAGTTTGAAGCTACCTAGGCTCCAGACTGAGATCTTGTCTCAGTAAAGATTTTGTTGTGGGTTGAAGGGCGGGGACAGTGAGATGACTGTGAGTAAGGGCATTTGCCACCAAGCCTAACAACTCAAACTTCATCTCTAGGATCCATCTCCTTGTGGAAGGAGAGAACCAACTCCTGTAAGTTGTCCTCTGACCTCCATGTACATGCCGTGGCATTGTGTGTACACACACAAAAGAATTGTTTGTTTGTTTGTTAAAACAAGCAGGTTTAAGTATTAGCTGTGCAGCAGTGTTTGAGGCGGGGTAGCAGACAGGAGACACTGCATGGAGACTCAGTTAAAGCCCTAATTGAATTACTGTCCTACACCCAGTTCCTTTTTTTTTTTCTAATCACGGGCACATGTGTACAGGTGCCTGAAGGAGCCAGAAGAGGGCATCAGATCCTCTTGAGTTGGAGTTACAGGCACTAGTCGTAACTGACTGCTAGAGTGAGAGTCTCATGTAGCCCAGGTTGGCCTCAAACTTGCTATATAACCAAGGATGACCTTGACTTTCTAACTCCCCCAACCCCCACCCCCACCCCCGTCTCCACCTCTGGAGTACTAAAATTTCAACCTATGCCAGCATTTGGGGTTCATTTATTGTTTCTTGTTGAATTTAGGGATTTATGTACGCTAGGCAAGCACTCTACTGAGTTATATCCTCAACTCTCCGAATGGTTAATTCAGATCATCTGGTTCCCTTTTAACTTTTCTTCCTTCCTTTCTTTTCTCAAGAAATATTAGGTGGAGCCAACACACCTTATGAGAAAGGTGTTTTCACGCTGGAAGTTATCCTTCCTGACAGGTGAGTACGAGTTAGAGTCAGCTTCTGTGGTAGGGTGCAGCCATTGGAAGACAGAACAGAATAGTATTTAGAGCATTAGTGTGTTATCCTAGTCATACATGACTTGATGTGCTAAGTTGTTTTTGTCTCTCCAGAGTTTGGTTTCCTTCTCTAAAATAATGGACTAATCATAACTGATCTCCACCCCTCCAAAAATTGTGGTGAATATATATTTTATATAACATAAAATTGACTCTTGTAAACATTAAGCATACATTTTCATACTGTTGTGCAACTATTACTATTATCTCCAGAACTTTCTCATCTTCCCAACTGTAACTTCAGACCCGTTAAAAATCCACCCCGAGTCCTCCCTGACACCAACACTTGGCGACCACTGTTGTGTTCTCCGCCTCAAGGTTAGGCCCTTCAGTCAAGTCTCCGGTCAGCTCTGTGTGGAGACTGAAGAAGGAGAAATGAGTATCTTAACTATTGAAACTGGACACCTGTCTACCAGGTTGGGTCCTGGCCAAGCTTGTCACACCCTGAAGAGTAGCTGAATTGTGTCACACATCAATTCTGAAAATAGACTGGGAATTTTGGAAGGTTTGTGTGTCACTAAGGAGATATGATAACTGAATGTAATGTGTAAGTCTAGTTGGAGCTTGTTTGTAAAGCACAGCTGTAAAAATATTTGGAGACTGGAGAGGCATCTCCAGTGGCCGCGCTCACAGAGGATCTAGGTTCAGTTCTCAGCACTCACATGGCAGCTCACAACCACCTATAACCCCAGTTCCAGGGGATCCTACATCCTCCACTGGCCTCTGAGTACCAGGCATGTACATGGTGTACAGGCACACATATGTGCAGGCAATCACACAGATAAAAATAAATAAATCCTTTTTTATGATAACTAGGGAATTACTTTTAAAAATGTTTTACAGATATAATGGTACTGCAGTAGGACAGTGTCCTTACTTTTAGGAGACACTTGGTAGTGTTAGAAAGTGGTGGGTTCCCGAATGTTTTCTGTACCATTATTTCAACGTTTTAATTGTTGGTGATTTGGGAAAGATTTGCCTTCCAAATGCTGTTTTTCTGACATGTTTCTGATTCCGTCATTATTTTATATAGCTACTAGTGACCAAGAAACTATTTAAAATGTAGAATGAGCCCTCACCCCTGAGGTGCTAATAAAATGATAACAGTTGGTAGCTCCCGGGGAATGGAGAGTCAGTTTTCTTGAAGGCCTCTCATAGGTTAACCATCCCCTGGTGGATGGCTCCACACCCACGAGTATATGGGCAGTTAATTGGATTTGGCAAGTTATATTTAAAAAAATAAATTAAGGCCCAGTATGGTGGTGCATGCCTGTAATCACTTCCTGTTCCTATACATTCACAGGTACCCATTTGAACCACCACAGATCAGATTTCTGACTCCAATTTATCATCCAAACATTGATTCTAATGGAAGGATTTGTCTAGATGTTCTCAAATTGCCACCAAAAGTGAGTAGGGGTTAAAGAATTGACTCTTTAGAGAGTACCAACAGTTTTCTTGGCACTTGAAAGAGGGAAGCAGGAGGATCAGGAATTAAAAGGTCATCCTTGCCAGTCGGCAATGGAGCACGCCTTTAATCCAAGCACTCAGGAGACAGAGGCAGGTGGATCTCTGAGTTTGAAACCAGCCTGGTCTACAGAGCGAGTTCTAGGCAGGCTCCAAAGCTAAACCCTGTCATGCTTAATGATATAGCAAGCTCAAAACCAGCCTGGATTACATGAAAACCCTGACTCAGACACACACACACACACACACGTACAGTTTCACATTCTTTATCTTTTGAGACTGTGTCATATAGCCAAGGATGGCCTTAAACTCCTGGTCCTCCTGCCTCTACCTCATAAGTGCTGAGATTACTGGCATGACTCACCATGCCTGGCTCAATGCCACATTCTAATACAAAACCAATTGTTCATTTGTATATAGGGTGCATGGAGACCATCCCTCAACATCGCTACTGTATTGACCTCTATTCAGCTGCTCATGGCAGAACCCAATCCTGATGACCCACTAATGGCTGACATTGTACGTATCCCCATTTCATCGGTAGCATATAGCCTCCTTTATCTGTACCTCTAATACTTCAGCAGCTGAAGTTTATCAAAGCATATCACTGTTTCTCTGTTTTAACTCTGATTTCATTTCAGTCCTCAGAATTTAAATATAATAAGATAGCTTTTCTCAAGAATGCCAGGCAGTGGACAGAGACTCATGCAAGACAGAAACAAAAGGTATGATATTTGCTATTACTAGTTCAATTATTGTATCTATGCAGAGAGGAAGGGCTAGTGAGCTTCCCATCCTTGACTGGGGCACTAATAAAATTGATAACAGTTGACAGCTGATAGCTCTGGGGGTGGAGGATTACTTTTCTCGAAGGCCTCTCATAGGTGAACCATGCTCTGGTGGGTGGCTCCACACCCATGAGTATATGGGTAGTACAAATTGGACTTGGTGGGTTATATTTCAAAACAAATAAAACAAAAACATTCTAAGACCCAGTATGGTGGTACATGCTTTTAATCTCAGCACTTAGGAGTCAGAGGCAGGCAGATCTCTTGTGAGTTTGAGGCCAGCTTGAGCTGCATAGTGAGTACATAGTAAGTTCCAGGCCAGCCAGGAATACATAATGAGATCCTGTCTCAAAAAAATTTTTTAATTAAAAATAAAAAGAGGGCACAATGTTGGAGAAAGATGGGGGATGGATCTGGGAGGAATTCGGGGGAGAAGTAGGGAGTAAATATCATCAAAACGCATTGTATGGAATTCTCAAAGAATTAATAAAATATATTATTTACACATGTACACATATGTATGTATCTATACATGTTATATATAGTGTATGCCAGGGGCTGGGGAGACATCTTAGTGGTTAAGAGGGCATAATCCTCTTTTGAGGACCCTAATTCAGCAGCCAGCATCCCTGTCAGGAGGCTCACAACTGCCTGTATCTCCAGCTCTTAGGGATCTGACACTCTCTTCTGGATTCCACAGGTACTTGCACTCACATGTGCAGAAACCCACACACATAGGCACATAATTAAAAATAAATATATCTTTTAAAAATATATACATAGATTTGTATCCCAGATCAAGCACTTATAAATAAACATAGAGTACATGTCTAAATAATATTTATTAAATTTTCTAAATTCATGCTATACTCTAGAACAGCTAGTTGGATTCTTTCTCCTGTTGTGACCATCTAAAAATTAGTCAGCAAAATGCTTAGATGCTCAACTAACAGTTGGCCCAGTTCCTGAGAGTTGTCATCCGTTGGCAACACTAGAGGGCAGGCAGGCAGCATCCGCTTGATGTTTTTATGTTCTTGTGAGTAGCAGGGATAGAGGGAAGGGGACTCATTCATTTTTGTTCTGATCTGTCATTTTTAATATTTTTATAAATTGAGCCAGAGACTAGTTACAAAAACAGTGAGAAAGTAGGGTTATGAGGGAAAGTTTTATTTCTTATGGGACCATTCATGGAAAGGGGGGTGTTCAAGTTGATAGAGTGCTTTGTTTATTGTTTTGTTTTTTGTTTTTGAGGCAGGATTCATATAGCCCTAGCTGACTTGAACTTACTGTGTAGTCCAGACTAGCCTGAAACTTTTGTAGTTCTCTTACCTTAGCCTCTCAATTGTTATAGGCATACATCATTATGTCTAGTTTTTTTAATTGATAAAGTTTGAAGTGAAAAAATAAAGTAAGAAAAATTGATGAAGATGCTTTTGGAGGAAATGCATGCACACTAAAATCTTAAAGAATATCAGGAAATGGCACTACAGAGCTTTGCCTTTTTTTCCCCATTAACATTAGTGCGAATGTTGTGATCACTCCTTTCTCCTTTTAGGCTGATGAAGAGGTGCTAGAAGACTCCTCAGAGGTCGGTGACTCTGAGGAAGGCAACTGCACACAGAAAAGGAAAGCCAGGCCACTAGGAGGCATAGATAAGAAATTTCACCCCGATGTTCAGAGAGTTTTTCCCGGTCCCTCTTAGTTAATGGAGTCTGTGACAAGGTGGTCTCTTTTGCTTGCTTTTCTTGAATGTTTTTCTTTGTGTTTGATGACATAATGTTTGTATCCTTATAAAAGACCTTGTATGTTTACACATTGTGCTATGCAGTGATTCTTTAAGGATACTTTGTTTTATTTATCTTGTACATATGTATTTTGAAAACTTTTAAACTTGAAAAATAAATAATAATGTTAAGTATGTGTTTATCCTAAATGTGTGTCTGGGAGTGAACTGGTTGTAGTGCTATGTGATCAGAATGTTAAAATATTTTGTCAGCTTACCATCACTAGAGACACAGAATGTTTGAATAGATGAAAATAGCTGTTAAAAATCATTACCCTCAGGCCATGGGGAGTGTAGCCTTTCAGAAGCCTTAACACTGGGGAATAAGGTGGTGTACACTTTGTCAGTGTGTAATTGTTTTCAGCTTTCACTTTGTGATTTATATAACTGGTTGGAATTACTGTAGTGTAACTTTCATTTCTTCAACCTCAGATGCACGGAGGAGTGTCCCTGCCTCCCAAGTACTGGAATTATCGGCATATACCACCATGCATGACCCATAACAAATATTATTCTGAATAATTAGTTGCCAAACTTAAATCCCCTTTGTGATTTCATAATACACTTGTCTTATGGTGGATTTGGGATGTTAACTGGCCAGTTAACCTCCCAATCCTGTTATCCAGTTAAATGATAGAGAGGGCATATTAGAATATAAGTCAGTTAGTAGCTGTACTGTGTGAGAGACTTTGAGGAATGTAGAGGCTGGAGCTGCCTAGACAGAAAGACTCTGTATGTCTGTCTCTGTATCCCAGTGTAGCAGTGATGGTTTTATACACAAGGGAGATGCCACATACATACAGTGCATCTGTGAGTAAGTGTGTTCTGCATCTGCTGTGAAGGGTGTTCTTACACTGTCACTCAGTAGCAATCTGCTGCTGTTCATGTGCTGGACTCATACAAAGAAGATAAATGTGGATTTATCTACTTCATTAGTGACAGGTTGTATTTACTGGAAAATGTAAATTTCTAACTTCTACAGATTTATTTTTCAGTGCTGGGATTGAACTTAGGGCCTTGCATATGGCAAGCAGAAGCTGTATTGCTGAGTTAGATCACCTATCTTTACAAAATTCTTTTTTAAAAATATTTAATTATATGTACACGTGTTTGTGCATGGGTGGGTGGGTGTGCACCTGATGCATGCAGGAACCCAAAAGGCATCAGATCCCCTGGAACTGGAGTTACAGATGGTTGTGAACTGCTGTGTGAGTGCTGGGAACCCAAACCACGTCCTCCTCAAGTGCAGTAAATACTCAACCACTGAGCCATCTCTCCAGCCCCCCTTACCGAATGAACCCACTTCTCAGAGTCAGTTCCTAATCTCTTTTTAAAGTCTAGGAATTAATTTTATCCCAGATTTGTGTCTTAACTCATTAGGCGGACTTAGAATTCCTAGATAACCATTGATATGTCAATTGGGGGTTTTCAGCAGTGAGTGAGAGCAGACTGGCAATGAGGAAATCCATTGCCTTCCTAAATGGAAAGGAGTAGGGTAAGTGGATTGGTGGCTTCAGAGGCCCAGCAATTTCGTGAAGGTCATGGCCACTCTGCTTTGCATACATACTATCAGCTCTCTCTGTGGTTGTTCATCCTTAAAGTTCTCTGAGGTGAATGCCAACAGCAGTCATTCTTTCTTATTCAAATCCAGCAGGCCCTGGAGCTCGACTTTCCATGGGCGACCTTAAGAGAAGTCCCTGTGCCAGGGAAATGCTCAGTGCTGCTTGGTTCAGGCTAAACCAGATGCAAAAGTGACTTGAGCAGAGCAAGACTCCCCGCACACTAATTTATCACCTAGACTAGTCAGCTCCGCCAGTTCCCTCACTCCCACTGCCAACGTTCTAGTGGAAGCTGCCATCACCTGTCACCTGCACTGGAGCCATCACCTTCAAGTTTCCTTGCCGCTCACTCTTACTCTGTGGTGCTCTCAGCTGCGAGAACAATCTCTTGACAATTAGAAGTCGATTTGGCTTCCTCCCTCCTGAGACCCTCCAAGTGGCTTCCACTTGCAATGAAGATAACAACAAAAAACTAGTCTCCTTCCCTGACCCGTAAGACCCTTCGTGCTTTATCCTCATTGCCCCCTTCCCGCTTGTACACCTCCTGCATCTGCCATGATAGTCTCAACTCAAATGCAGCCTCACTTGTCATCCAGTCTAAAGCAGCCCTAGAGCCTCAGGTACTCTCTGGCCCATAACCCGTCACTCAACTGGTTTTCTTCATAGCTTAACTAAGAGGATGTTTGTGTCTATGGTCTGGCTCCATGCACTGGGGAGAGAGTGGCTACAAGGACTTCTCACAAAAAAATAGAGCCGAAGGTAGTCATCTATCCATCCATCTCTTTCAAGATTACAGAGGACTTGGGCTAGGGAAGAGAAGTAACATGTCCAAAGATTAGAAAAGTCCAAATTCCTCCTCAGTCAGGGAAGGATGGGAAAGTGGCTGAAAACATGGATGAAGTCAAGACCTAGTTACTACTTAGGAGGTGGAGACAGGAGGATCAGTAGTTCAGAGTTATCCTAGGCTACACATCAAATTTGAGGCCAGCTTCAAGGCCGGCTACAGGACCTTGTCTTTTTATTATTATTATTATTATTTAAATTTTAGAAGTTTAATGATTTTTTTTTTTTTTGGTTTTTTCGAGACAGGGTTTCTCTGTGTAGCTTTGCGCCTTTCCTGGAACTCACTTGGTAGCCCAGGCTGGCCTCAAACTCACAGAGATCCGCCTGGCTCTGCCTCCCGAGTGCTGGGATTAAAGGCGTGCACCACCGCCCGGCTTTTTTTTTTTTTTTTTTTTTTTGGTTTTTCGAGACAGGGTTTCTCTGTGTAGCTTTGCGCCTTTCCTGGGACTCACTTGGTAGCCCAGGCTGGCCTCGAACTCACAGAGATCCGCCTGGCTCTGCCTCCCGAGTGCTGGGATTAAAGGCGTGCGCCACCACCGCCCGGCCGATTTTTTTTTTTTTTTTAAGGAGAAAAAGAAAAGCCAGTTCCAGCTCTGATGGGTACTGCTTACTAATTGTGTGCTCTTAATATTAGACCTTCCTTTTTGGGTTTTGTTTCTGTAAAATAGCCACATTGTGGTAGTTAACTCAGAGTGTTGTGAGCATGGAATGAAACAATGCTTGTAAAGCATCCTGCATGGGGCACAGCAAAGTTGACATTTGTAGAGTTCTTGCAGGGGGGTGGAGACAGTGATCCAGCCATAGGTGAGCCCTGAGGAACTGCCATGTCCTCAGCCTCCTTGCCAGTCTGCTTTGTTCCTGGGACAACCAAACTGAGCAGTGTTTTCAACTCCAAACCCCTAATTAAAGAGGAGAGATGACATCCATGACTGATCATATAAACATTGCAGATTCCAAGTTCCTCTCTCCTGCTGCCCCCCACCCAGTCCCCCTCTTCACCTCTCCCCACAAGCTATCTAAATAAGAACAGATTTTACCACCCACCTTGTGGGCAGACAGCTGAGCCTAGGACCAGCTATTTATCCTTCGGCTGCTTCGGGAATTCAACACATACAAATAAAGTTCCTTTTCCAGCCAAGTGTGTATTTTTCCATCAGCGTGTGGCCCCCCTGCCCAGGTTGTCTTGTTTAGGTTGGGGTGGCCTAAAGGGAAGGAAGGACAGGGTGGGCGTGTGGGGGTGTGGTTTTAGAACCTGCTCCCAGGATAACTGGCTGCAGGGCAGCTTGCAATCCAGGCCTGTGCAGGGCTGCCATCGAAAGCCAGTCGAGGCGGAGCAATGGACACAGACGAGCTACGTGCAGGAACAACACATTCCACTTTGCTGCTTGGCAAGTGTTGCTCCTGCCTCTTGCCATGCCCCCCTTACCCCGGGGAGTGGCCGTCCCTCTCTCTAACAAATAGTTTATATCAGAGATGACAGTCTAACCCAATGTCTTTCATCCTCCCCACCCGACTCCAGGGCTTTACCCTTTCATGTCCTTGTTTTTCTTGATTTTATTTTCCTGACACCACATCCCACTAGACTGTCCCCTCCCTACTGTTGCCTGCCATGCTCGCTTAGGACCCTGAGATGATTTAATTTGGACAAGGAGCGCCTCTCCAAGCAACTTCCCTCAGACCTCCCACCAAAAGCACCCATAAAACCTCAACCTAGGCTTGAGTTCTCCATCTCCAGATTTCTACTAGGTGGAGAGTCATTGTCAGGTATTAGCTCTTTACACAAAAATCTGATCTTTCCGGTAACCTCCAGCATTTCGGCGCGATCGTTCTCATTTTGATGATAATGCAACAGGGAGGCTAAAACCCAAGGACAGTGGATGCTCCCTACACTTTCTCCTGATGCTGACATTCAGCAGCTGTGCAGTTCTGACGCTAACTGCGAAATCCAAACCGGGCAGTGCCCAGTGGTTCTCACCTGCTCTTTCCATTCTCCCCAAGCCCCTGCTTCAGCATCCTCTCACCTTAAGTTGCTCCCTAGGGGTTCCCACCTAGCCCCGTGTCCATATGATAGCTGTCCTGACTAGTTTTATGTCAACTTGACACAAGCTAGAGTCATCAGAGAGGAGGGAGCCTCATTTGATAAAATGCCTCCATGAGGTTGGGCTGTAGGCAAGCCTGTGAGGCATTTTCTTAATCAGTGATTGATGTGGGAGGGCTCAGCCCATTGTGGGAGGTGCCATCCCCTAGGTTGGTGGTCCTGGATTCTATAAGAAAGCAGGCTGAGCAAGCTAGTAAGCAGCAACCCTCCATGGCCTCTGCATTAGCTCCTGCCTCCAGGTTCTTATCCTGTCTGAGTTCCTGTCCTGACTTCCTTCAACATTGGGCTACAATATGGAAGCATAAGCCAAATAAACCCTTTCCTCCCCATCCTACTTTTGGTCATGGTGTTTCATCACAGCAATAGCAGCTGTAACTAAGACAATAGTCTATCCAACAGTCCTTCTGACAATCCTCCTTGGCCACCAAAACTCCATTCAATAGATGCCTCTACTACCCTAAGGGTGCTAAGAAACAAGTTCACTTCTGGGTTTGGGTAGAGGGTAACACAGGAGGGACTTGTTAAAAAGACTCTTTGGCCTCTTTCCATGCAAGTGCCAAAAATACACACACACACACACACACACACACACAAATTATCACTGCTTTTTAGGTGTAGCTAGTACAGATCCT